GAAGAGGAGGAGGAGGAGGAGGAGGAGGAGGAGGAGGAGGAGGAAGAGGAGGAGGGAGGAGGAGCCTCTCTCTGCGCGTGGCTGCAGGCGCCCTGCCCAGAGGCTCGCCCCGGAGACCAGCAGTCCTCCCCACGTCGAGGGGGCCGGACGCTCGGGCGAGGCCCCGGGGGCCCTCCCGCGGAGCAGGCCGCCCCGCCGCTGCCGAGGCTGTAAGAGCGGCGCCCGGCCTGGCGATCTGGAGGCCAGCGCCCGCCCCCTTCGCGGGGGGGCAAACTCCATGCACCGACGCTTTTGTTTCTGGCCATGTCCTCTTACAGGCGGCTTTTGGAATACAAATTAAAAATAGTCAACACATGCTCAAAGAAACACTCAACAACAGTAGAACAAGTGTCTGTCTCCCGAAACGACCCCAGAGAGCCCCAATACGGTCCACACCGACCCTCAAGAAGCCGCCATACCCCCAAAGATCGCTCCAAAGCGTCCCAAGAGGCCTCCAAGAGCACTCCCAAGAAGGCCACAAGAGTCAAATCCGAGATTTTCCATTGGTTTTTGGTGAATTTTGGGGTTCTCCTCTTTTCGGCTTCCCAACGCTGCAAGACGGCGGTCTTTTGGGCGTCCGAAGCCGCCTGGGAGGCTTCAAACTCGCCCCACATCCATCCGAAAGAGTTTCCAGGCAGTCCAAGAGGAGTCCCAAAACGGCACAACAGGGATCCAAGATGGCCCTAACAGAGCCCCATGGCGGCCCAAGATGACCCCCAAACGCCCTCCGAAGCATTCCAAATCGTCAAATCGTGACCCGGTCGTTCATGGAGACCGCGGTTAGTTAAAGGCAGGGTTGCCCGAGGAACCCCCCAAACGCCCCGGCCCCCAGAGGCTCTCCAAGGATGAGCATCCGCAAAAAGAGCTGAGGAGGATTGGGGGAATGCGCAGGGTATGGCGAGAATGAGGAAAAAGAAACATAGAGGAAGGATAACGAATCACATCATCATAACGGCGATGCCGAAAAAGGCAAGGAGTTATCGCTAAATCGTCGGCCTGACCTTCCTGCCATCCCGCCTGCATACCAAACTTCAAGGACCAGGGTGCATGGCGGGAAGCGCCACTGCACTCTTTTAAGGTGTATATACATTGTATGTATATCTATGAATGTATGTATGTATCTATGTGTATATATACACATATGTTCCAGTCTCCAGTATTCATCCTTGGCACGGAGCACTGAGCCCTGGCCCACCGCTGAAGAGCAAGATCCGAGAAGCCAATGCGGGGCTCGACCTGGACAGCACGTTCCGCTTTCGTGCTGCAGTCGTTGTCCCTCGTTCTGCCTTCGCCCCGCCTCTGCCGCAGCACGAAACCAAAACGAACACGGCCCAAGAAGACGCCGCAACAGCGCTTGGCTCGAGCCCTAGACGCCAAACCCCACGGGAGGCAACGAGGATCCCCAGACGCAGCATTGGCCCCCCCTCCGCACCAGGACGAGGAGACCCACGCTCTGAACGCTCGTGCGACGCTGCCTGGGCAGACAGGGCGGCGGACTTGGCGTCGTGTGGTGGGGAGGGTCCAAGACGCGAATCGGTCGATGCTGCGGCATCTCTAACATTCTCCCCCGCAACGTCGAGCCTTGGGCTTCGCTGCCACGCCGTGCGACGGCCCCCCCTCCCCTCCTCCTCCACCTCCTTCTCCTCATCCTCCTCCTTCTCCTCCTCCTCCTCTCCTCCTCCTCCTCCTCCTCCTCCTCCTCCTCCTCCTCCTCCACCTTGAGCTCCTTCCCCTCCCGGGCCCGCCGTCTCCCCGGATTCAAGTGGACGACGAGGAGGAGGAAGAGGAGGAGGATTGTGGAGGAGGAGGAGGATTGTGGAGGAGGATTGTGGAGGTGGAGGAGGAGCAGGAGGAGCAGGAGGCACTGGGTGGAGGAGTGGCGCATTTGGGGTCTGCAGCGTGCAGCGTGGCATGTGCGCCATGGTGGACCCCGAAATCCTCGCGGGGCAGCGCAAGCTGAGACCTCGGAGGGCACCGAGAGGAGCTGCCCGCGCTGCCGAGGGGGGGGGCGGCCTTTCCACGGCGAGAAGATGGCCCCCGCCGGCCACACGAGAGACGATCGCAGTGCGCGCGAGCGAGCGAGAACCTATGTACAGCGTCCTGTGCCTCGCACGCGCTGGCAACATCTGCATGCCAGAGCCAGCACTTTGGCGGGAAGGCGAGACTGAGCAACGCAACCTGCTGCAGGCGCTCCCCACCCCGCGGAGTCTCCCCGTGGGCCTTCGGAGGCCGTCGGACGGGGCTCGAGCCGAAGGGACGGAGTCGTCCACCATCGGCGATTGCGGCGACTCCGTTTCCTGCTTCGCCTCCTCTGCCTGGGCGCTGGGCACCACTGGCTCTGGGGTCGTATCCGACTCAGCCTCTCGTCCGCTTTCTCCACCTCCGCCTCCGCCTCCGCCTCCTCCTCCGCCAACTCACTCCTCCAACTCACTCCTCCAACTCACTCCTCCTCCTCCTCCACCTCCTCCTCCTCAAACTCACTCCAAATCCTCCTCCGACTCCCTCCCCCGCCACCGCGCGGTCCTGGTCAGCGGCCGCGTCCGTGCCGTTGCAGCCGCCCTCGCACAGGTTCAGCGGCCACCGCCAGGTCGGCAACCCGGAGGTGAGGTCGCCGTGCTGGCGGGTGCGGGCCGCGGCGCGATAGACCACCAGCCCGAGGGTGGGAGGGAGGGCGAGGACGAGACAGAGAGGAGGACGAGGATGAGGATGAGGATGAGGAGGAGGATAAGGAGGAGGAGGAGGAAAAGGCGGAGGAAGAGGTGGAGGCGGAGGCGGAGGAGGAAGAGGAGCAGGAGGAGGAGGAGGAGAATGAGCAGGAGGAGCAGGAGCAGGAGGAGGATGAGGAGGAGGAGGAGACACTATTTCCAAAAGACCAGGATGAGTCTCGCAGCGGTGCCGCGTTAGCTGACAGCACCGTCGAGAACCAACCGATAGAGCCAGGTCGCACGCACTTGCCAACAACCGCCAGTATCTGCGACCTGGCCGTTGAAGCGACATTACCCTACTCCGAGTTTCTTAATGAGCGTCGGGGGGGCGTCACCCCCGCCGACAGCCCCGCATCGACCCCCGTCGCGGACAGCCACCGCGCGCCGAAGGCGAGGTTGAACCCCGTCGCGGCGCGACGACGAGGCGAGGTTGACCCCCGTCGGGGGGCCCGCCCCCACGCTTATTAAGAGACCGGGAACACCCTGAGGGACATGATGTCGCCCGCCTGTAAACCTACAGACCGAACCAGCACATTGCGCAGCCAGCAACGCTAAGCAATCCCGATTGTCGTCCCGGAAAGCTAGCGCGTTTTTTCCCAACCACCCTGTGGTGTTGGGTCATCGTTGTGAAGAGAGACAGCGCCCCGCGTTCCTCCTCTTCCTCCTCCTCCTCCTCCTCCTCCTCCTCCTCATCCTCCTCCTGCTCCTCCTCACCCCTCTCCATCCCTGCCCTCCGCATGTCCACCATTTCAGCACACCCAATACAAATTTTCGTGGCCTTGTAGGAATCTCCACCGGAGGCCCCAGTGGCTGTGACCACATGCACCCGCGCACGAGAATACAGCGCTTCGTGGCCCCATAGGGAGCTCCACCGAAAGCCCCAGTGGCTGTGACCACATGCGTCCACGCCACCCAGTACAGTGCTTCGTGGCCCCATAGGGAGCTCCACCGATGACCCCAGTGGCTGTGACCACATGCATCCGCGCACGAGAATACAGCGCTGCGTGGCCTAACACTGCGCTTCACCGAAGGCTCGAGCGGTTGTGACCACATGCGTCCGCGCACGAAATATCCGTGTTTCGTGGCCCCACAGGGAGCTCCACCGAAGGCCCCAGTGGCTGTGACCACATGCGTCTGCGCAGGGGAATACAGCGTTTCTTGGCCCCACAGGGAGCTCGGGAGTGGGGGCAGAAACTCGTACTGGACGTGTCCGTCTTCGCACCTCGGCGGCGAGCCCAGGGGGGAAATGGAAGGAGAAGGCCTTCTCAGGAGGCTCGGGCCCCCGGGCCTTCTGAGAAGGTTTCTGAGCCTGCCCCGAAGACGCAGGAAACCTCTCGGAAGGCCCGAGGGCTCCTGAGAAGCCCTGCGGCCCTCTGAGAGGGCCTTCTCAGTCTCACTTCCACTGAATTGCTTTTTTGGATCAAAGCTCAGCTCACCAATGGGCGTTCGGGACGGTCTGGGCACCCCCGGAACGCTCTCGGCGGGGCGCAGCCGGTGGAACGCATCCCGAGGGCGGACAGCCGCCAGGAAGCTGCGAGAACGCCCGCAAACTTCGAACTCGCTCGCCGCCGAGGTTAACGTGGAACCCGCTTGCCGCCGAGCATCCCCAGGCAGCCCCGGGGCCCCGCCTGGACCGCAGAGACGCCGTAGGGGCTGACCGAGCACTTGGTGGCGGGGTCGGCGGTGACGTCCCCGCCGCCGCCCAGCGGGTGCGGGCGTTCCTGCCACGGCGCGGCTCGCCCCTGCTGGCGCGCCCGCTCCCTCCAGCACATGGCCTAGCATCCCGTGGAGGCCCGTCCACAAGAGACCTCCCGCAAGAAACCCAACCCTGAGACCCCAGGACGTCCATTGATTTTTGGTGCGGGAACGTCACGCTCTCCATCGCAAAGCCATCGAAACCCAAGAAACCCAGGGCACCCTGGAGGTAAACAGGGTGTTTCTTGGCATGGGCCCCCACTGTATTTCGGGGGCGCGCAAACATGGATTAGCGATCCATGGATTTGGCGCGCGGTCGCCAAATCCATGGATCGGGGGAGGTGTCCTCCCCCAAGTGCGGCCGGTGCCGCTTCGGCAAGCGGCGCAGAGCAGCGACTTCCCATGGAAGCGGGACCTGGCGCTGATCCACCGCCCTTGATTAATGTTTGCGATCGCCGGGCATTCGAACCCTCACACACTTGAGGGGGACGTTCCTCACCCCCCAGCACCCGATGTCAACGCTGATGTTAGCAAGGGATGGGTGGTTCGAATATTTCTGTCCACCCATGCTCTCTCGATTGCCGCACCCCCAATCTCAATTTTCGGGGTCCGGGTGGGTACAGCTTGGGCCGCGAGGTTCGAACTCATTGTCCGTGTACTGTCCCCCCCCCGTCCTCCGTGCTCCCTCCCGCCTCCTGGACCCCCCCCCCTCCCCCCCTCCCCCTTGGGCGGCGCGCGCAGGGTGGCAGGGGGAGGGGGGAAGGCTGCTTTGAAGGAGGCCGCTCCTGAGAAGGCGCGGGCCTGGCATCTGCAGGCAGGGCCGGGCGCGGGCCTTACATCTACAGACAGGGCCCGCGCCTTCCAAGAAGCAGGGGTACTTCCAGGAAGCCTTCCCCCCTCCCCCCAATTACCCCTCTCTGCGCGCGGCCGACCCCCCCAGGATCGAGAATCGAGGCTTGGGGATTTGCGTGGCCCCTTCGGAGGCCTCCGGAATACAGCTGGACCTGGGACAGAAAAACATCCTTCAAGAATGTGAAACCCTCCGCTGGCCAAACTGAAGAGCATTCGACAAGGGTCCAACAAGAGGGTACACGAGAGCATCCAATAGAAACGAAGAACATTAGGGTACCCCCCCGAACCGACTTCGAGCTCATGCCTCGGTCCGACCGTAGCCCAGCCCCCCCCCTTCGTCTTCCATCCCCCTCCGTCCCCTCCTCCACGTGGTCGCCTGCCTGGAGGCCGAAGCCAGAGGGAACCCGTGCGGTGCTGGCGGTTCGGGGCGGATGTGTGTGTGTGTGTGCGTGTGTGTGTGTGTGTGTGTGTGTGTGAGTGTGTGTGTGTCTCTTGCTCGCGGCAGCGGCTTGTAGTGCTGGCGGCGGCGGAGACCATTGTCCAGAGCGCTCCCCGGGCTCCCAGCAGGCCTTGACTGTCTCAACGGACTATGCCTTTGATCGCAGGCTGGCGCGAAGCCCGGCGCTCGGCGGAGCGAGGGTTGGGCTTTGGAGCTGAGCTACAGCTTCGCAGGCAGACCAAAGCATGACCCAAACGCGACAAAGCACAGTGGATCGAACGCCTGACGGCGGATGGCGGCTGGAGCAGCCTCACGCAGAATGTAGAACGACGCCCATGTCAAAGGCATACAGCGCCGAGCCTGTGACCACAATTCAATGGTACGTCCGACCTTAACCATGATACGCTGGAGACGCTGACAAACTACAGTGGAGGCCCGTCCACAAGAAACCTCCCGCAAGAAACCCAACCCTGAGACCCCAGGACGTCCATTGATTTTTGGTGCGGGAACGTCACGCTCTCCATCGCAAAACCATCGAAACCCAAGAAACACCAGGCACCCTGGAAGCAAGCAGGGTGTTCCTTGGCATGGGCTCCCCACTGCACACTCGCACTTTAACGTTGACCTGGGCATGCTCGCAGAGGCGGTCCGTGCAGCGCTCATAAAATTAAGATGCGAGTGCGCCTGTGAACAAGAAGGCAGCCCAACTGATGCTTCCAAGGCCGTGGCCGTTGAAGGCCGACTGACTGCCCAAGTTTTGTTTGTCTGTTGTATCCAGCCCTCGCTGGTTTTTGTTTGTTTGGTGATGAAGGCGGTCGGCGCGTGCGCCGAGCAGTACGGAGGCCAAATGACTGCCCAACTGGAGTGCAGTGCTTGCCGAACGTGTGCAATGAAGCGGGCGATCGCAAGGTCGTCCCTGACGAGTGGGCCTTCTCGCCAGTGCGCCTGCTGCTAAAGAAAGATGGCCCTTGTCTCGGGAAAATGACACACCACTTTCAACGCAAAGTGCTGCAACTGGTGTGTGTGTGTGTTGTGTGTGGTGTGTGTTGTGTGGTGTGTGTTTGTAGTGTTTGTGTTGTGTTTGTGTGTGTGTGTTGGGGGTTTGTGTGTAGTGTGTTGTGTGTGTGTGTGTGTTGTGTGTGTTTGTGTGTGTGTGTGTGTTGTGTGTGTGTGTGTGTGTGTGTGTGTGTGTGTGTGTGTGTGTGTGTGTGTGTGTGTGTGTGTGTGTGTGTGTGTGTGTGTGTGTGTGTGTGTGTGTGCGTTCGGACTTGGTCTCAAACAGGCTGCTGGCAACAGGCGTCGATGTACGCAAACAGCGTCCACAAGTTGGGCTTACAGTCGATCTGCGTCGCGAGCCGCAGGGTGGCAGTGGCCAGAGCGAGGAAGCACGAGGCAACAACGCTCGTTGCCCACGCCTGGGCGTTCGGCACCATCCAGGCAGAACGTGTCACGGCCGTGCTCCCACGCCGCGGCAGAGGCGAAGGCGCAGCCTTGGACGACTTCACGATTACATACCCTCACTGTGCACCTGCCCTCGGGTCCAGGGCTGAACCGATATGGATGTGTACAGCGACGCCATCGGCGATGCGGCTCCAGAGCCAAGACGGCCGCGCGGCAACTACCCGGGCGCCGCAGAGGCTGCCGACGAGCCACAACTTGAAGAAATGGCTCTGTTCCTCCTCCTCCTCCTCGTCTTGGGACCTGGGACATTAGCAGCATGTCATGCCGTCAAGCGGTCGAACACTGCCGGATAGCCAGAAGCTTCGGGGAAGCAGCCACACTCACTGCCTTCAGAGGGTGGGCTGAACCACGCAGAGACAGAACTTGCATGCCTGATGTGATTTAGGCACGCTCCGAGAGGGCGTTCCCACTCGAGGGGTGGTGCACGGGTCCTCGCCCGTGCGGAGCTTGGGCAAGCTATTTCTCACCAGACTTCTTCGGCTCACAGAGGGACGCAAGCTTAATTCCGCGGCCCATGCAGTAGCCTGCACACATATTACACCATAGTCGTGACAGGAACGTTGTTCCCCATCACCCTACACCCAAAGAGGTATGCCTCCTCCTCCTCCTCCTTCTCCTCCTCCTCCTCCTCCTCCTCCTCTCTGCTCCCGCTCCCCCTCCTCCTCCTTCTTCTCCTTTTCCTCTTCCTCCTCCTCCTGCTGGAATAGAAACAGAAAAACTGAACGAGTCGTGCAAAAACGCTTCAACGAACGACCATCCGAAGCTCAATGTAAAACAATGATGGGAGGCAACATCCCCAACCACAGACGTGCGGATGCGGTCGTGCTTGAAGAGCTGGATCCCCGTGAGCCAATGCCAAATTTTTGGGGTCCAGACATTTTGCTACATCACGTGCCGCTCAGACGCTTAAATCGGCCAATCATTTGGCACGTTTTGTCTTACACTAGGTGCTTATCGCTACGTCCACCTGTATCACTCTTTCACGTCTGCCATCAGAGATGAGCGAGTTGACATGCCGAGCCTAATCTAATCCAATCCAATCCAAGACGATCCGATCCGATCCGATCCAATCCTCCTCCTCCTCCTCCTCCTCCAACCCTGGCAAGCCACCGCCGCGTCCTTCGGGCCATGCGCCATAGACAGCCATCCACGCGCGAGCCCCAGGGCGTTGTTGAGCCCCGTCTTGTTCCCCCGCAAGGCCTCTCGAGATGGGGGCCGCGTGGGCACGCGCACCGGTGCCGCGTGTCCGGGGGTCTACGTGCGACTGGATCTCGGGCGGGGGAGGAGGAGGTGGAGGAGGGGGAGGAGGAGGAGGAGGAGGAGGAGGATGAGGAGGAGGAGGAGGGGGAGGAGGAGGAGGAGGAGGACCAGTGTAAACCCAAGAGTCATCAACGATGTTGGAATAGACCCTCCCTCCAAGTTTCCTCTTCATAGGCCCCTACAACGGTTCATTTCCATTGAAAGAACTCTCTTTGGAAGACAACCGTTTGAAGGCCTTCAAGCATGCCAAAACATTGTTCTCGTGATTCCAACGCCACGGATCAACCTGACTGTTGCGTCTTGACAATCCTGAATCGTGCCAGAACGCCATGTCTGGGACCTCAACACAGCGAATCAACATACCTGTTGCACCCGCATAATCCTGAATCCTTTCCGAACACAATTTCTGACAAACTCTTGCAATTTTTTTTTAAGAACGAATGTGCGCCGCGCTACAGCGAGAGCCACATATTGAAAAGGAATCCCCTTCAATCAGTGAAGCTCTTGCAAATGTTTAAAACGAATGTGCGCAGCTCTAAGGCGAGAACCACATCTTGAAAACCACCCGCCCTCAATCCGTGAAACTCTGGCAAGTTTTGAAAACGCCGCGCTCAAGCGATAGCCACATTCTGAAAACGGCCCGCCCTCAATCCGCGAAACTCTTGCAAATACTTTAAACGAATATGCGCCGCGCTAGAGCGAGAACCACATTTTCAAAACCACCCGCGCTCAATCCGTGAAACTCTTGCAAATGTGAAAACGAATGTGCGCCGCGCTAAGGCGAGAGCCGCACTTTGAAAACCACCCGCCCTCCATATGTGAAACTGTTGCCAACTTTCAAGCTTCAAAATCATAATGGTGAGGAAGTCTCAGGAGAAACGCCCAGCCCGCCCTAAAATCTGGCCCCGGTGTGCGACAGGGAGAAGTGTTCTTTATAAGGAAAAGGAATGGAAGAGGAGGAGGAGGGGGGGGAGGAGGAAGAGGAGGATGGGGAGGATGGGGAGGAGGGGGAGGAGGGAAAGGAGGAGGAGGAGGAGGAGGAGGAGGAAGAAGGGAGGAGGGAGAGGGGAGGAGGAGGAGGAGGAAGAGACGTCCTGCCAAGCCATCGGGTGATCAGGAGGGGTGGGCCTGCGCAACCCGAAGAAAGAGACACAGTCGGCCCGTATCGTAAAGACGTGCGATAAGGATGCAAGGGCCTTGGCAGGCCATTTCGAAGCTTTCCGAGCGGGGCGCGGCCAACGAAAGTGGCCGAGGATGGACCGAAGAGGCAAGGATGCAAGGGTACTCTTGGGAAGATTGCATCCTTACTGTGCGGGTTGACTGTAGAGTGTGTGTGAGAGAGAGAAAGAGAGAGAGAGAGAGAGAGAGAAGAGAGAGAGAGAGAGAGATGAAGAAAGAAATAAAGAAAGTAAGAGAGAGAGAGAGAGAAGCGCGGCACGGGGAAGAAAGTATTCTTGGCGGGAGGCAGGTGCTGCACCGCGGGGCTCTCCCGGTGCCCGCCCTCCTCCTCCCGGGCTGGTCGTGGGACGGCCCCGGCCGGGCCCTATAGAGCGATCCGGGGGCCCGAACGCAGCGAGGAGCCTCCGGGACCCCTCGCCTCGGTGGCGCGCCTGGGGCCTCCAAGCGACTCGAGGGGGCAGGCCTTCTCGGACGTCGGCGGGGCTCTTCTGAAGGCCGGAGGCCTTCCGAGCCTTCGCTGAGAGCCCAGTCCCCTTCGCAAAGAATCGCGACGGGAGGTTTCTCTTCGCCATCTTCGGCCTCCAGGGGCCCTTCCTGGGCCTCGGGCCTCGGGGCCGTCAACAAAAAGGCTCAGAACGAAAAAAACCGGTCCCGGGGAGTGAGTCCGGACCTCTGGGGGTCGCGTCATGAAAAAATCATGACGTCGGGGGTCTGTGAAGGCCCGCCCATAGGTGATCGAATAACCTGGGTCAATGCAGTCCCGGGTCAGTCAGGCTTTGCAGGATCCTGCAAGCTCCTCCAGGATCCTGCAGGATCCTGCACGCAAGCCTGGGCCAATGCAGCCCTGGATTTGCAGGATCCTGCGCTCGAGACATCGGCGCGGGGGGCGTCCCGAGGCGCGCACCGCACCCCGCATCGCCCCTGTGTGAGCTTGACTCACGCCTTCACAGGAGGACCGACCCGAACATCCTCCTCTTCCTCCGACTCCTCCTGCTCCTCCTCCTCCTGCTCCTCCTCCTCCTCCTCCTCCTCCTCCTCCTCCTCCCTCATCATCATCATCATCATCATCATCATCATCATCATCAGCATCATCATCATCATCATCATCATCATCATCATCATCATCATCATAATCATCATATCATCATCACACATCATCATCATCATCATCATCATCATCATCATCATCATCATCATCATCATCATCATCACCATCACCATCACCATCATCCATCATCATCATCATCATCATCATCATCATCATCATCATCATCATCATCATCATCATCATCATCATCATCATCATCATCATCATCATTATCATCATTCTCATCATCGTCATCATCATCCTGATCATGAGCATCATCATCATCATCACCATCACCATCATCATCAGCTCCAGCATCATCATCATAGACATCAGCATCATCCTCATAATCATCATAATCATCATCAGCATAATTATCATCAACATCATCATAATCATCATCATCAAAATCATCATCACCATCGTCCTCCTCCTTCCTTTTTCTTTTTTTCCTCATCCTCTTCCTCCTCATCCGTTCTCATCCTTATCATCCTTTTCATACTTGTCCTCCCTCTCCTCCTCCCTCCCGTCCTCCATCCTCATACTCACATTTGTTGTGTCTCTCTCTCTCTCTCGATGTATCTGTATATATTTCCATCCTCCTTCTCATGATGATCATCATTATCCTCCTCCTCCTCCTCCTGCTCCATGTTCCTCCTTTTCCTCCTCCTCCTCCTCCTCCTCCTCCTCCTCCTCCTAACTCCTCCCTCCAGCCGCCTTCCTCCCTCCCGCGGGTGCCCTAAGAAGAAGGAAGCCCGCGCTGGTTAGTTGTCGGGGGACAGGGCCGTCTGCCAGAACGCTAGTGGCCGAAGCATGGGCTTGCCCTGCCGTCAATATGGTCAGAGGTCTTCGTCGCGATGAACGCGTCGCTTAGTAGCCGCGTCTCCTGTCCCAGAATCTGCGCATACGACCTGCTCGCGCTGGAAGAATACTGGGCAAGCCATTGGTCTGGGCCAGCGGGCCTTCGGCGGATATGGAACGATCGAATCCCTGGACTTTCCTGGGCTCGGAATCCCAAAACCCCAAGGAAGCCAATACAGACAGTCATATGTGGACCCCACCCGTACTAGTCCGAATGCTGACGGGCCCAAGGCACTCATAGATGCTCAGAAATCACAAGGGGGCACGATCGAAGTGAAACCCCCGACGCCCCGGCCAGATCGCACGGCGGCGGAGGCATGAATAGTGCCACTGACAACTCTTCTCAAGAACCTCGACAACTTCTGGGGCCCTGTCAAGACACCCCCCTGGCTCCCATAGAGAACAGAAAATCCACCCCCCTGAATAATCACCCCGACAAAGGAAGCCGTTTGGTAAACGCACCCAAAGAAGGAATCGAACAGGGCAGGGACGTGTAACAAACGCCCAGGGCCGTTTAGTAGACTGAGGGGCAACGGTAGGGGGGACTGGCATAAGAGGGGATGCATCGACCGAGAGTCGGCGATACATCGCCGATAGATCGGCGATGGGCCTCTGATAGTGAGTCCGCACCTTCCTGGGCAGGTTGGGGCTATCGGGCCCCTATCGGCGACAAACGGGCGATTGGGGGTCGATGCATCCCCCCGTATGCCTATCGCCCCCGAGCGTTGCCCCTGATAAGCGTCGATTGTCGGGTCTGGGTGGTTTTCTGGTGCTTTTCCTCCCTTCATCCCAATATCGGGGGCGGCCAAGAGAGGGGCGTCCAAGAAGGGGGGGCGCAAATCATGGCCGGCGGCATGTGTGCGGTCCAGGGCGGGGGGCCGGGGAAGCATTGAAATAAGAAGAGGCGCCATGAAATCCAGGGAGATCTCATGGCCCACGCCATAGTATCCCCCCCCCCCTTGGCCATCACCCCCCTCGTTGCCGCCCCGGACGCAAGGGACGACCTGGGGACCCTTCCAGACACATTTTTTCTTTGGAGCTCAACGCCAGCACCTCTCAAGCTCTGCGGGCGCCACCACCATGACAAGGACGAGCACACCCCGGCGAGGTAGAAACCCACCCGCAGAAACATCATCGCCATATACGAGGGAATATACGACGAGGCTGGCATCGAGCAGCACGAACACGAAGGCACCCCAGTGAAATTGGGAGGCCCGCGGAGGCAGGAGGCCCGCGGAGGGGCGGGGAGAGCCGCGGGGCCCGCCCGAGGTCCCTCCGGGCCCCCGCTGGCTCGACCCCGGGGGCGCGGGGTGCGAGCGGCGGCGTGCGGCGAGGCGCCCACGGGGCACGGAGAGGAGCAGGGGAGCGAAGTAGTGGCCCACTGTTATCTCCGTCGTATGTCTGGCTTTCTCGCTATCCTTCTTGCTCGCAAGTCTTATCCTCCACATCTAGGGGAATGAGGAATGGCATAAACATGAAAACTCGGAGGTCCGCGCGGATTTCTCGGATCCGGGCGGCGCCGGAAGCGCCGCCGGGGGGGGGGGGCCAGCGCGGATCCGAGAAACCCGCGCGGACCTCCGAGTTTTCATATTTATGTCATTGTGTTCGATCCCCTGAGAAGGCACGGAAGTATTCGCAGGCCTCGATGCCCTCCACCATCAAGGCGTGGCCCATCCCCTCCGACTCCACGGCGCTCTGGCTGCCTCAACGGAACGGGCGCAGCAGAGGCCCGATGTGAGGGGGGGGCCGGAAGTGGCCCGAGGTGCTGCAGCAGAGCAGCAGTCCCAGCTTGCCACGACGACGAGGAGGAGGGGGAGGAGCGGGAGGAGGAGGAGGAGGAGGAGGAGGAGGAGGAGGAGGAGGAGGAGGAGGAAGGGCAGGAGGAGGAGGAGGAGCAGCAGGAGGAGGCGTTAGATGCCTTCGTCGGGACTCCCTGCGCGCAGGAACAGGGCTAGCACAGATCCCTCTCGTTTGTTGAAGGCCCAGGCGCCAGACATGTACACTCGAAGCCCGACATGAATGTGGCCTGGCCAGTGCGATGCGGTGCCATTGTGGTGGTCGAAATATGTGGCCTGGCACTGTGTGGTGATGCGATGGGTGGTGCCCTGGGATCCGCTTTGGCGGCCTGGCGCCACACGGCAGTGTCATGTGTGGTATCGTCTGGGTGTGCCAATGCCGAGGGCAACATGTGTGGACCCGCGGCGGCTCAGTGCCGCGCGGCGCTGTGTAACGGTGCCGCGTAATGCCATGAGATATGCCCTGCGAGCCGTAATGGTGGCCTGTTGCCGTGCAGTGTCGCGAGAATGGCACCGCGAGGTGCAGTGCGCCGTGACCTCCCAAAGGCGGCGGCTAAATGCTGCGACGTGCAGCGCACGTGCACCATCTGTAGCCATCTGGGGGTGCTCTGGGGGATCCAAGGTGGCGACCTGGAGACTCCTTCGGAGATCTTGAATACGGCTTCTCTGGATTCTAGAGCACGTCCGAACTCTCAGAGAGCTTGCGACATGGGGCCGACGCGCGCGCTTCCCGTGGTCCGCGTGCCGCCGCGGCGCAGTTCCAGCGACGGGGCCTCCGTTGCTCGTCATGCGACCCCCCAAAGTGTCGAACCACGAGAGGATGCCGCAGATCTCCCTCTCTCTCCCTCTCTCTCTGTTCCTCCTGCCAGGTGCCCGCGTGCCCTGGGTCGCCGGACTTCGCGCCCCGCGCCCCGCGGTGCGCGGTCCTCGCTCCACGCCCTCGAGGAACCGCCTTGGAGAAGGGCGCCTCGCCAACCCGGGCCGCGATGCGCGAAGCGCGCTTCTCTTCGCGCCCCTGCGGGTGGCGTGGCGTGCCGGGCGCCTCGCGTCCGGTGCCCAGAGCCCGGTGCCACGGCTGAAGGGAAAAAGGTTTGCACCGTTTCGGGTCGAGCTGCGCATCGGATGGCACTGCTGCTCCCCCGCGCCCGCGACTTTAGTATTAGTTGTGACATCTCCTGGGGCCCTTCGAAAAAATAAAGATACATCCCATTTCAGCGTGGGCGTCCGCTCCTAGTGTGAGGTTCGGGGGCTGGGGGGTCGTATCATCAGTTGTCGTGCCGCCCAGGTGGTGCAAATTTATTTCTTTCAATCGCATGGCCCGTTCGCGGAGCACTGCCTGGTGCGATGTGGCTGGTGCGGGACTTCCTCGCGCCTCGCGCCTGGTGCCGTGCGGTGCCGTGCCGGCTGCTGTGCCTGCTGTGCCTGCTGCATGCGTGTTCCCTGCGAGTGCCATTCTCCTCCTCCTCCTCCTCCTCCTGCTCCTCCTCCTCCTCCTCCTCCTCCTCCTCATCCTCCTCCTCCTCCTCCTCCCTCTTCCTCCCTCTTCTTCCCTCCTCCTCTCACTCCTCCTCCTACCTTCCTTTTCTTTTTCATAACTCCTCCCTGTCGCACCCCGAGGCCGGTCGAAAGGGCAGGCAGGGCAGTTCGCTTGAGAGTTCCCCACCAGTTATGACCCTGAAGCTGCAAAACTGGCAACAGCTTCCCAGATGGAGGGCGCGTGGTTTTCAAAATGTGGTTCTCGTCCTAGCGGTGCACGCATTCGTTTCAAACATTTGCAAGAGCTTCACGGATTGAGGACATGTCGTTTTCACAATGTGGCTCTCGCCTTAGCGCCGAGAACATTCGTTTCAAACACTTGCACGACCTTCATGGATTGAGGACAGGTCGTTTCAAACATGTGGCTCTCGCCTTAGCGCCGCGCGCATTAGTTTTAACAACTTGCAAGAGCTTCACGGATTGAGGGCGGGTAGTTTTCAATATGTGGCACTAGCCTTAGCGCTGCGCGCATTCGTCTCAAGAAATCGCAAGAGTTGCACCAGTTCTCATGATCACCCATCCAAAACAGGGTGTTTGGAAACGATGCAGAACTGTCGGGGCGCAACAGTGACGTTGATTCGGGGTGTTGACGTCCAAGGAATGGCGTTCTGGCACGATTCAGGACCGTCACGACGCAACAGTCAGGTTGACTCGTGGTGTTGAAGTCCTGAGAAGGGTGTTCGGGCACGCGTCAAGATGTTCACACGATTGTCCCCAAACGATGCACTTCCCTGAGTGAAAATGAACCATTGCAGGGGCCAATGAAGAGGGAGCTTGGAGGGATGGTGTATTGCGGCATCGTTGATGGTTTACACATGTTTACACTGATCCTCCTCCTCCTCCTCCTCCGCCTCCTCCATGGGTCAGAAGCGTGCAGTGTCAGGGGCGGAGTGGGGGCAGGAGGGGGGGGGAGGAGCAAGAGAAGCAGGAGCGGGAGGAGGAGAAGCAGGAGGAGAGGGGCAGGAGGAGGAGCAGGAGAAGAAGCAGGAGGAGAAGCAGGAGAAGCAGGAGGAGGAGGAGGAGGAGCAGGAGCATGAGCGGGAGGAGGAGAAGCAGGAGGAGCAGCAGGAGGACGAGCAGGAGCACGGCAGAGGCCGAGTGCACCGATGCCGGAGCTCAGTGATCGCAGTGCCCAGAGGTGGTCGGTGACCTCTCGAGCGCACTGGCGGGCTCCCCAGGATGGCTAGAGCCAAACTGGTTTCCACGCCGCCTGGGGGCTTGTTGCCAGTGCTCACTCATCCTGCCCCGCGCTGGCGCCAGTGAAAGATGAGGACGAGGAGAAGGAGAATGATGATGCGGAGCAGGAGGTCTAGGAGGAGGAGAAGGAGGAGGTCTAGGAGGAGGAGGAGGCGGAGGAGGAGGATGGTGGGGGGCGCCCACAACTCCCCCCCCCCAGCGGCGGGTCCGCTCTGCCGACGCCCTGCCCGACGCACACGACTCCCTTCCGACGACCAGCGCGGCGCCCAAACTCCTGGCGACGGGGGCCCTTCCTGGTCCCACACGGGACCTCACGGCATTCCAACCGACGACGTCCGTCCCGACAGTCGCCATGTGCGTGGATGCCATAACAATGGACACTCTAACAATCCTACCATTGAATGAAAGTGTGTTCAAAAATGTAGGAAAATGCTTTAAAACATGTAAGCCATGTTTTGTGCATGTTGAGGACATGTTTAAAACATTGTTTAGACACCTGGAAATTATTCGGCAACATGCTTCATCTCCATTGATCGTCGTCCACAACGCCATGTTTGGCGCGTGCGGCTCACCGACGCGCCACATACCTCCGAATGGCTCGCCACGCTGGCCCGCTGCGGCACCCCGACAGTCCCAACCACCTATCGGCGAGCACACCAACCATGACCGTTGGGACTGCGCCGGGCTGTGCGGCGTGCCCGACGGCCACCATGACGACCACAGACCACCGACCCCCTTCCCCTCCCAACACCCCAGCGAGTACGACACCCAGACTGCCACCAACCAGAGCAGTACAGTCGGCACGAATTATAAGGATGCGCGATCAGGATGCAAGGGCCTCGGAGGGCCATTTCGAGGCTGTTCGAGTGGGGCGCGGCCAGCGAAAGTGGCCAATGATGGGCCGAGGAGGCAGGGATGCAAGGGTAACCTTGGGAAGGCTGGTCATCCCTACTGTGCGCGTTGACTGTAGGGGTCCCCCAGACTCCTTCTGCTGCCTGGCCGCGTCCGTCATCTCCTTCGTACCTTTCGCTGCATGGGCAACCGCTCCGTGGGACGGGGGCCAGGCCCACCTCCTCGATGTGGGAGCGACCCCCGCCCCCCGCACACTTCCCCACAACGGCCCGGCGAAGTCCCCACGACCAACCTCACTACCACCACCACTGACTACCTACCAGTCCACCCCAACCCAACCCGAAGACCCGAATTTCGGGTTGGGGGGGGGGTACGGGGTTCATATGTTTTTTTCTATGTTCCCCGACCCCCCCCACACTGGAGAAATAGAGTGCAAATCGAGGCCTTCGGGTTGGGTTGGGGTGGTTTGGTCACCTGGTGGGCGGTGAACCACAGCAGCTGGCAACCGCAACCACAACGACCGCACCGCCAGGAGACGACA